CCCCTAAAAGGAAGAGGTCTCCAAAGAATAGGCTATGAAGAAGAAAACCCCCTAAAAAGGAGAGACCTCTAAAGAAGAGGCCATGATGAAGAAGACCCTTTGAAAAAGGAAAGGCCGCTGAAAAAGTGATCTTGAATAAGTAAACCCCTGATAGGGGAAGGTTTCCAAAGAAAAAGCCATGAAGAAATAGACCCCTAAAAAGGAAAGGCCACTGAAGAAATGGCCTTGATTAAGTACAACACTGGTAGGGGGAGGTTTCCAAAGAAGAGGTCACGGATAAGAAGACTCCTGAAAAGGAAGATGTCACTGAAGAAGTGGCCTTGAAAAACTAAGAATAGAAGGCCTTTAAAGAAGAGGCCACGAATAAGAAGACCCCCTGAAAAGGGGGTTGTCACTGAAGAAGTGGCCTTGAATCAGGCACCCTAAAAAAGGAGGAGGTCTCTAAAGAAAAGGCCATAAATAAGTAGGATTCCCTAAAAGGAGAGGTTTCTGGTGAAGAAGCTATTGGAAGACCCATTTTACAAATTGGAGAGGCCTCTAAAGGAGGGGGAACAACACAAAATTAGAGAAAAGAGCTAAAAGCATACAAAAATGTGAACTTAGGGATTGAAGTGTAGATATTCTGAAATTTGAAGGACCATGAATGCAATATATCAAGGGTATGATTGAAATAAAAGGAAAAATATGAAGACCAAAATGTACTAGATCAAAAGTTGAGGACCTCAGCATGAAATTACTGAAGAATTTAAAAGGCAATTTTAATATTTTGATTACGTATAAGCATGAGCTTCCACAGGCTCACCATGCAAGGCCTCATCAAAACTTAAGCTTCAGTACCTCAATATGCAAGGCCTCATCTTTGCCTATGTTTCAATACCTCAGCATGCAATGTCTCATCCTTGCCTATGCTTCACGCTCACCATATAGGACCTCATTATTCTAAGGCCATCTTGTGAATAGGGACCTCAGCCCCTTCATGCATAACAAGCCAAAGAGTTTCAAAAAATAGGGACCTCAACTCCCTTCATAAAATTCTAGTGAAAATTCGAAGAAAATAACCTCGAGTAATATGGACCTCAGCTCCCTCCCTCGAAAATTTGGCAAAATGCTTGAAATAAACAACTTCGACCCATAACTTCAGTTCCTTAATCAACACTTCAAAGTCAAAGACTTAGCCTACTTCAAGGCTTTAGACAACATCCACGATAAGTGCTTGTGCAAATTTTCATCTCACTTTTAAATCACCATTATGTGAATATCTTGACTGGATTTGGGGACTATTGTGATTACTGTTAACATGCATGTCACATCACTGCTAGCATGCTTCACGACCTATGACATCATTTTTACTAGCGCTAGTATGCATGTCACATTACATACACTGTCATCAGGCATATGTCCTGCTATAGTACATGATAGGCTTCTTGTATATTATATCTTGAAAATGTGAGATGCCATTTATGAGTATTTAAAGGGGTAAAATGGACCCGTACTTATTTGATATATGTGTAGTGGACTAGTCTAGTCTATATTACAAAGATGATGTCGAAATTTCGACAAAATATGGCATTTTCCAAGGCAATTCCTTCAAAGAAATAAAAGAAAGTAGCCCAAGCGACACTTCAACAAAAAGAGCTAGAACCTAAAGAGGTTCAACCATAATAGAAAGTAGCCCAAGAGGCACTTCAACAAAAAGAGCTGAACCGAAAGAGGTCCACCTCAGAATAGAAAGTAGCCCAAGAAGCACTCAACAAAAAGAGCTGAAACCCAAAGAGATCCACTTGCAAAATGAGAAAATATCAGCCCAGAAGAAGCAACACCAACGAAGAGTAGGATCCCGACGAAGACCACTCTCAAAAAGAAAAGAAAAACACAAGCAAAACTAGTAGTTGAACTGCCAAAAATTCGCAAAATTGCATTTCAAAGAAAGTTAGACCCGCACATGAATGTACAACTTAGACTTGGGGAAGTATAGTTACTGGTCGAATATGAAATTCCATGCGGAAGCACCACAATAATACACTTGGAATGCATGGATGAGTTGAGGCTCTTAAGGGGTTCAATTGAGGCACCTACAAAGCTCAGTCGAGGTGCTTACAAAGCCCAAGCTGAGGCTCTCCAAAAGGTATGCCGAGGTGCCTTCGAAGATGGTCGAAATGCCTACCAACATGCCTTCAAGTATGTCCACCAAAGCTCAAGAAGAGGTTCACACCTCAAACCGAGGCTCAAGATGTCCTTAAACCGAAGCCCTAAGTGGCCGAGGCCCAAAAGCAAAGCACTTGTAAGTGGTCAACGGCCGAGGTTGTTGCACTAAACTCCGAGGTTGCTTTACTAGAATTCTCCAAAGTGGTTCTGACCTTGTTCATCCGAAGTGGGTTGACGTCTTCCTGCCGATCCCCTTGGCACAGAGGTCCTTGATACCCAGAGAGTCTAACAAGCGTATCTTGAGAACTAATTGATGTGACCTTTGTAATGAGTGTAAATATCTAGTCTTGTCAATAGGACGACTCCTATGTGTAAGAACAATAAATGCACCACAGGCTAAGAAGTCAAAAATAATGGCTATGACTAGATGCTTTAGTTAAGGAGATGAAGCCATGTGGCTCCTCATCCAATGGACAACATCTCATGTGTAATACTATAAATACTCCCCTTCTTGTATCATTTGAGAGGATGGATCTTGGAATGAAAAGAAGAAAAACATAATATATCTCTCCCTTGTCTCTATTTTACTTCTCAAACTCTCATATTTACAGTAGAAATACTACAAAATAAGTCCACGTGTACATTGTCTTCTAACAATACTTGTTGGCCATTTTCAGAGGTCAACAAGTTTCACACTCATTTGGGGTGAAGATATCGGTCTATGGAGATCACATGATTTCGATTTTCTCGTCTGCCACTTCCTAAAGTTCTTAGCAAAATTCTTTCAAAAATAATGTGATTTGACGGAAAATGGCAGCATGGATGGGATTAGGAACCCAAAGGATCCTCAAAATTTCATGATCTCCAGTTTGTGTTCTGTACGTAGTAATCATATGATTGAAAACTATAAGAGAGTATTAGAATCTATTACACTAAACAAACCAAAAGTTCTGAAAATTTTATGCAACAAGGTCAGGTCTAGGAAAAGTATTAGAGAAAAGACTTCAATTAAAAAGGGCATGACTTGTATGTGATATTTGTTCTATTTACTTGACTTATGATATAGTCATTGGTCCATGGAGACAGCATGACTCACAAGTGTATCGAGGAATTCATCTGAACTAGGATGGACACTCGACGGATGCCCAATATATTCAGCAGAGCTAACACGATTAATTTCCATGGCTCACTGGGTGCTAGCTCCGCCACAGGCATTAATTGATTTTTTTAGTTGTTTGGGTAAAAATCATAAGCATAACATATTATCAAACTCATGGTAAAGTGAATTTAATGAGTTCACATTATTGTTCCCATGAAACTATTTTACCTATTATTGATCTAAATTAATCCTACTATTTATTTAAACAAAGGCAGAAATTTAAAAGGAAAAGTGGTTTTTGTTCTAATTTTTAAACTAAAACTAAGCTATTATAAACTGACTAATTGGCACGTTTGATTTTGAGATTAAAGTAATGAGAAAAAGTGTTAGGACTCGCGATTTAACCAAAAATCATTAAAAATAGTTAATGTGTATTTGACTGAACTTCTCAAATTTAATTGAAAATACGGCCTTTACTCAAGTAAACTCACTACGATATCTCATGAATTTCAACCTAATTAAATGTATTACTCCACCCAAAAAATCGCTTAACGACCGAAATAACTTTGGAAGTATATCTCTATTTTCTACTTAAATTATTGACTTTTCCCACTTATAGTAATCTGCCAGATAAAAATGTAAAGTCTCTAACAGAATGCAAGAAAGAGATTCAAAAATGCTGTGAATTTTTACTGCAATAACTCAACTGAGAAATGAAACCTTAACATGGGAGTCATTAGAATGCTAGAAAGAGATTCAAACATATTGTGTATCAATTTTCCACTCGTGTACATGACTCTTGCCCCTTGGTAAACCCTTTGACTGAAGATGTGAAATGTGAAACTTCTCTTGAAGTTGGACACCAAAGTTGTCTACCTATTTCCGGGATGTCCGCTTGGCTGATCTCGAATATATTGAATGGGACCCTTACATATTAAGCATGTAATGAGCACGATTGTCACATATTTCTCAAGAGATGTGACAGTTTACCTAAAAAGTTTGTTTTTCAATCATTCAATTTCGAGATAAGAAACTATGTCGAAATTCAGCCACAATTACTATAGGGCAATAACCCTTACCTTTGGTTCCCGAGGTCAGTTTCTTTTATAAATAAGTCAACGAAGTTAAATGGAGACATCCAATAACTTGCAAAGTTAAAACGAATCACATGACTTTTATATGGCTTTAAACAACTGGTCTATGTTAAGTTTTAGCTTAATGATGTTAAATATAATTATAGTCGTTGTAATGAGAGAAGAACGCACAGCAAGACAATTTTTTTTTAGTTGTGTGATAGAATCATTTTATTCATATAACTTTATACATTTATGCTCTTCATTTAACTGAAATTTCAAAATTGAATTAGCTACGGTCAGTGCCTTTTTCTATGTTGGTTAATTTGTAATAAAATGTCCAACCCCACCTTGAAAACAAATCATATAATTAGTTTGTAAAGTAATTAGTTTTAGGGCCATTTTAACGATTTTTGAAAATGTAAAAACTCCTCTTTAAATTAAGTTCCTTTTCAACATATTTAGATAATATTCTGAAAGTGCCTTATTTGGCTAGATGTCTTATTTGGAAAGTTGGTTTAAGATAACTTCGTTATAAAGTTTTTTAATGAAAAGTATAAGCAAAAATAGAAGTTCTGCCAAACAGACGATTAGTATACACTCATTGAAAATAGACAGAATTAATTAATACTTTGCCAAATAAATGGTAGTTGCTAGACAATTTTTCAGCGGACTAAAATTAATTGTACAATAAGCAAAACTGTAGAAATTCAATTTTTGTTACTCGAGAGACGAGTAATGGAAGAAAACGTCAAACTAGTGTTAACACAAATAATACACTATTATTCAAAATTTAGAAATAAATAAATAAATAAAAATTCAACATCATCTTTTCCTTTACAACTCTATATCAACTCCTGCGTCCAAAATTTCCAGCTAAAATTTGCCAATCAAATTCATATTTTTGAAGTCACCTAGGATAGAAAATACTCTGGGATATGCTTGCAACTGAATCATGATTCCCATAAATGATGGGGGAAATTGGGCTTTCGAATGTGTCATTAAGTTCCATAGTCTTTTCATCCATGAAAGGGGGATTAGTCGGTACAGGAAGGTGCTCTTCTTTCTTTACCAGCATCTGTAGTGCTTTGGACATGGATGGTCGTAGGGATGGGATCTCTTGGGTGCACAGGAGTCCAATATGAACAACCCTTAGAATCTCATTCTTCACATCGATGTTATGATAATTATGCAGCATTAAGTTTGGATCGAACAGCTCGTCCACTGTTCTTTGCTGGAAATGATTCCATGCCTGTTTCATCCAGATTAATGAAAGAGTTAAGAAAAGGTCATATGCCTAACTAATAAAATTAGATAGAACGCCAAAGAATTTAGAACTTACAATAGAAATTAAGCTGTCTGAATACTCTGCCTCTTTGCTCCTGTTATTCTGTCTCCCTGTGACAATTTCAAGCACAAGTACACCAAAGCTATACAAATCTGCTTTTTCTGTTAATTGCCCGTGAGCCAAGTATTCTGGAGCCATATATCCTCTGCATATTTGGGAATTCGAGATAATTTATGAGATCAACTTGTCAACTTGGTTGAGCATGCTTGATTATTCTTGAAAGAGAGAACTTGCTTTCAATTTACTTATTTTTCCAAAACTTGATTTTCGGAGTTATTTTTCTTTCTTTTTTTGCTAATGTAACTTGCGTTTCTAGAAAAACAGGTCCCAACTTAGTTTTCGTTTGAGAACCATTAATCATAGACTATTTAGTCTTTTACTTTTGGAAGATAACAATACTCACAAAGTTCCTGCAATGGCAGTGCTAATATGACTTTTATCTTCCTGGAAAGTCCTCGCCAACCCAAAATCAGCAATTTTAGCTCGGAGTCGAGAATCCAAGAGGATATTACTTGCTTTGATGTCTCTGTGAATGATTCTGGTATTTGTGTTTTCGTGAAGGCACACCAACCCTTCTGCTATCCCTATAATTATCTCGTATCTCTTCTCCCAATTTAGTGCTTTTCCTTTGTTTGGATCTGTCAAATTCAACATAGCAGCAGCAACTCCAATTAATCACTTATAATATGTGCAAATTTTAACATCAATGCATAATCTACATCAATTAATAGATTAACCTAAATTTGAAATTTAGAAGTTACCAAAAATAAAGAGATCAAGACTCTTGTTTGGTAAAAATTCGTATATAAGAAGACTTTCAGGTCCCGAACAACTGCATCCCAACAACCTGACCAGATTTTTGTGCTCGACACTGCTGATAATATTGACTTCATTGTAAAAATCTCCTGCTCTATGTTTGTTGTTATAGAAAAGCCTCTTGACAGCAATCTCTCTTCCATCTTGCAGAACTCCCTGCACAAACATAAAATTTAAGCTCATACAATAAATTCAGGGAGAGATATATAAATTCTTTCTCTCCGTGTTCGGTTTTATTTACTAAAATATTCTATTGAGATCGTATCACTCTTATGAACACGAGCCTCTTAAGTCTATGCAGAAAAATTAAAATAAAATAAAATAGCTTCTACAAGTTTGCTGAGTATTACCTTATACACTGTACCAAATCCACCTTGCCCAAGCTTGTTGGCTTCATCAAAAGAACCAGTTGCTTTCTCAAGCGTGGAATATTTGAAGTTCAAGCTGCTGTCATGCAGGGTCTTCACCAGTTTTTCTGCATCGCTGGAACCTGGAATTACAGAGAAACTTCACATTATTGAGATTGAGAGCCTATTTTCTACAGAATGCTGTGCAAAAATTATTCAAAAATCTTGTAGTACAAAAAGTGCAAAATGATGCAATAAGGTATTGTGATGCTGTTGTTAACGATTCTCACATAGTGTAATTTCTCAATGCTTAGACGAAACATTTCTACCTTTCCTCTTCTTCTCTATTGTTTTGTGATTCCAAATGTAAAATCCAATGGTAGCTCCAACAATCAATACAAGTACTGCACTAGAGACTGCGACTACAATACCTATTACTTTCCCTGTAGAAATCAGTTGAAAATTCATGAGCAGGCCAGAAAGATAAAAATTTAAAGTATTTAACTCCTTCAACAACATAATAACTTCCTTTAAAATTCAAAAACAGGGAAGAAACACAAAAAATTATCGGGAAATGATAACTGAGGTTCCCAACCTATGCAAAATATAAAAAGCAAGTCTTTGAGATTTTTTTTTCTTTTTTTTTCACGGGTGGTTTCCCAACTTTTCATTTTCGTAGCAACTCCTCAGTTTCTTTTCAGTTAACCATCATAAAATCACATGACTACATGTTTGTATACCCTCCTCCCTACACCCTGCTGATCTTTCCCCACAACTTGCTACATTTCTCGTAGTTCAACACTGCAGTTGTGATTTTTCCAAAATACAGAGAAAAAGGAACAAAAGAAAAATGTTCAACCCTCAAAATTTAAGAGCTTTCACAATGAAGAGAGAAAATTTACAATACAATTTCCAGGGAGAAGATCATAAAGTTCATTTTACCTTTTGAACTTCCATTTCTTGGTATAGGATTAAGAAAGTTGGTGTCAGAGTACCTAACGAAGCACCCTGTATTCAAAACCCGACCCTCAGACCATGGCAAGCATCCCAATATAGATGCAGATGCATTCTGCAAACAAGCTCTGCAAGAACTAGCACTAAGAGTCCTCCAGCAGTTAGCAAGAACATAAGCTGATTCATTTGTTCCGGACACAGGCACTTGAGCCCGTGCAAAGCCGTTGTTGTTGGGTGCAGCTGAAACTGCTTGTACCACAGCCTGCCTTGCTGAATTCTGAAATGCAGAACTCTTTCGGGTTCTATTACCACAAACTTCTGTGTCAATTGGTCCAGTATACTCTTGATCGAAACTGTAATTCTGAACTCGCATGAAGCAGCCATCAAGGAAAATCCTTCCACCATTGTTAGGAAAGCACTGAGGAAGAATGGTGCGCATTTCAGCATAGCATAATACACAGTCAGATAAAGAAAGATCATCATAGCATTGTGCTAGTCCATAATTAGTGTCAGGTCCTGAACCCACTACTGCCCTGCCAAAACCCGAAGTTCGCATCTGCGCACTTATGTTCTCCATTACGTCAACAAAGTTCAGGACAAAAATGGAGGTGTTGTGCTCAAGTTGGTTCCCGCACATCATCTGAACAATCTGAGTTCTTGGCTCCCCCAATGATGCGTCTGGTGATAGCAAAGTCACAAGAATAATGATGATAATGGATTCCTTCATTTTCTGAGTCGTTTCGTCTTCCAGTCGTCTGTTATAGGCAGCGGTCAGTTCAAAATCTCAGATAAAAAATTACAAAAATCAAGATACTCATAGAATATTGAAAAGATACTCGAGCATATTATAAATTATAGTTGAAACAACACAACTGACTTTAACAAGGGAAAATGGCAAATTAACTATTTGCTGGAGTCTTGACTTTCTTAAGTAAATACTTCAATGATCATTAACTTCTTCAATGCCTTTTCATTCAGCAGTAAAAGCATGATCAACATAAAGAACTAGATAGGATAGGATTATTGTATAGCCAGATTAATGAAGATGAAGAAGAGATAAAAAGGTGTGAAAACCAAGCAGCTAATCAAGAATTCGCCTTCAAAGAGAAGAATAAAGCTCTTTGCTAGAAAAGTTTTGATATGTAGGTTGATATACACTCACATGTGGTGGGACCTGCGTGGGATCCGCTTGAATAAAAAATGTCAAAAAAAGTGCACCCACCCCCCTCCATTGTGAGTATATGTCAGGGAGGATCCTCCCTGGCAACATGGCTTGGTCTGAAAGAAAGAGACTCATTATGCAACAAGTCAAAAAGGTGTATCAAAAATATTTATGCAGTCATTTGGATCTATGATAACAAAACCAGATGGAGACTTTACATTTTCAACCCACCGAAAATTCCCTCAACCTTTCAGATTTCATCAAAAATCATTTTCTTGGTAGAAAGGTCAAATTTTAGATGAAAAACACAGATGTCATTTGTTTAGTATCATATCTTTGCACGAGAGAAAGCTGCAGAAAGTAAGGCCATAAATTGGATTAAAGATTGATGAATAATGCAATATGGAAAACGATGTCAATGCTGATAATGACACCTCAACAGAAAATCAAGACCCCACTTCAACTACACTTAGAATTAGTAGCCAGGAGCCAACTCAATCCATAAAAACTTTCACTCCACGACAAGATATTTGCATAAAATATACAGCCACTACAAAGAAAAATCCAGACATTTAATTTAACATTCAAGCAAATAGTCAATATTTAAATTTATAAAAAAAGGGAAAGTGATGTACCTTACACAAACTTACACCTCAGTTTTGAATTTTGAGGCAGTATTCAAAGACTTGAAGTCTTATAAATATAAAATCTATACTCAATTCTTCGGATTAGCACCTAATCATGTTGACAATATAACTTATATTCATTTGTCAAAATTTATAAAATTTTACTAAAACAACAAATAGAAATTAAAAACATATTTTCTACTTTTATTTTTCTTAAATTTTCAGATGAGTATTCATATTCTTATATGAATACTGAGAGTGATAATTTTAATTATAAGAAAAAAATGCCTGAGGATTCTAGAAGAAAAAGCTACTACATTTACTAAGAACAAAGTAGCATTTGAGCTTAACACCAAAAAAAAAAAAAAAAGTAATAATAATAATAAATAAATAAATAAAAAGATAAGAGAGAGGGAGAGAAGATTATCAAACAGTAGCAACCAATCAAATCACATAATTGTTCGACTTCGAGAAGCCAGAAACATCGAGAACACAAAAACCGAAAGAGATCAAACGAACCCAGCAAAAATTCAGAGAAAAAAACATGCCAATAAGCTCAAAAATACTAAAAGATACCACCTTTTCACACGGGCAGCTGAAGTTTATCGTTTTGATTCTAAAACTTATCGACCCTTGGCTTCTTCACATCTATGAGATCGAAGATAATGAAAATATGAAAGAAGTTATGAAGAAGAACAAACGATTGACTGAATTTTGAAGGGATTTCCATTTTTTTGTTCCAAATGACTGTTATATAAAACGCGGTTCAGAAACGAGTTTTCTCTGTCTACAAGTCTAACATTTGTGGGGTCGTTTTGACAGTTGATCGAATTATTCAAGAGGAAATTAATTAATTAATACGAATTTACAAATTGATTAAGGATATGGCTAGATAGATAAATCTCTTTGTTAATATTTTTTGAACCATTTTCCAGTACAAATTTGGCTCGACTGCTTGGATCGAGTTTAGAGTTTAGACGAGTACCATCTAGATAGTCGTCTTAGAATATGAACTTCGTTGTTGTACTTGATTTTGTTAACACGTGATATTTTTGAACGTGCGTTTTATTTAAATAATTTAATAATTAATTAAATTCAGTAGAGTATAACCGATTTGTTTAGAATAAACGAGGTCAATTATTCATTTTTGAAATGAAATCATAGCTTTTCATTAGAGTAATGTTATTCTTAGTTGCTCACAGCGACAGTCACCCTACGTGGCATACACATGACAGGTGATTATTTGATACATTAATGTAGTAATTTTTTTATTCATTAATGTATCAAATAGCTACATGCCATGTGTATGCCACGTAGGGCGACTGCAAATAACATTATTCTTTTCATTAACATAGATCGTCACAAAAACCAACAAAACCCTGTTTGAGCTCCATTACATTAAATTCTATTACATTTCATTTTTCTCTCTTATTTTCAATCACACAATCTTCCATAAAATAATATTACACGTAAATCGAAAACTTTTCATTCTTTTTCAACCACTCATTTTTCAAAAAAATATTATTCCCCCCATTAATTTTTCTACGTAATAGGGATCAAGGGCAAAAAGTGAAATACAAACAATCAAATTCATATCAGCTAGTAGATGGTAACAAAAGACGCAAATGTAATTTACTTTAGTCCTATTTCCAAACTTATCAATTAATTTTTCAATTATTCAATTTCGACGCCATTAATTGAAGTCAACGATTGAGTTGAATTTTAAAATAGTGGGGTTGGATTCTGAGATTAAGAAATTAGAATTAGAATAGTTAATTATGATTAATCCAAATTGTAAGTCTCTAAAATGAGAATCTTGTTTTTCTATGACTCGGCCTCGGGGATGTGATTTCACAATGGTAATTATTCACCCCCCCCCCCCCCCCCCCCCCCTCTCCCTCTTTTTTCATGTTCATGCAAATGCTACCCCTCGTTTGGTTTCCCTAAAAAAATCATATGACTATTAGAATCTAATACTTTGCATGATATAATTACAATAAAATATATGTGCCAAAAAAATCAACTCGTTACAATATGCTAATGATCAAATTACACGTGACATCAATGGTGGATTTAGCACCCGACGAGGAGGTGTGGCCGCAGGTGCTAAATCCGATGCCATCAATGTTGCAGACTTCTATCACCGTAGGGAAGAAGATAAATAGATTAGGGAAAGAGGAACACGGATAAGTTTGGACTTGGGCCATTTTTCTTTTTCTTTTTCTTCTTCTTTTTCTTTTTCTTTTTTTTTTTTTATTTTGGGCTTCTTTTTTTTTCTTTTTTTTAGTTAGACCCATTTGTTGTTTTGTATTGTACCCCAGCCTCCAAACTATGCGACAAATTGAATTTTGTAGAAGACAGATAAAGATGAAAGGTGCAGCTGTCGTCGTCGAGCCTTTAACCTTGTGAGTGGATTAGTAGTGGATCTTTTGGAGAGCTTCATTTGGGTAATTTTGATTTCTATTTTTGAACTACAAATTGTTTTTTTTAGAAGGTCTTTTGGGTGTGATGTTGTTTGAAATGATTTTATTTTAATTAATTTCAGGAGCAAATATACAAATAGGAGAAGAAGTTGCCATGAAGCTAGTTAGTATGAAAGTTCTGTAATTTTGTGAATTTGAGTTCTTATTTGGAATAAATTTTTTAATTTTTCATTTATTAGTGGTTAATCAAAACCTTATTTTTTATTGTTTACCTGTTGGGAATTAGTATTTGTATTTACTAAGCTACTTTATTTGTCAAGTTTTAGCTATTAATGAGATATGCTACCAAATCTCTCTAGTTCAAGCAATAGATATACTTCTTTGACATTAACATGTGCATGGATTTGTTTCAAACTTCACTTGTGCACCTTTTCTGTAATTTGTAGTATCATTTTCTCTTGAAGCAATATAATTTATTTTGTTTTCAAGAATCTATTAAAATCAAGCATCCCCAGCCTTCAACCCTGTGAGTGACTGGGTTTTTCATTGGGAAATGATTTATGTTTTATGAATTATGACCGTGAGCTTGCTGTTTGCTACTGAGGTTTATGATTTATGAAAATTGGGAAATTAGTGAATATGTGATATACATGAAATACAGTTTGTGATAATGTTAAATTGGAAAATTTGTGATTTGTGGTAAATGATAGATTGAAGAATTATGATTTGAGATTTCAGTGCATTTACATATGGATTGAAGAATTTTTTATTTAATTAAATACTAAAAAACAACTTCACTATTGTCGTCATTGACTGTCGATGGTCAATAGTCAACGACCACCCTAGACTATCGATGGTCAATGACGCCCTAGCTGAGGTTCATTTCTAGATCCGCCACTGCGTGACATACACTTTTTCCTTGACGCGAACCCATTATACAATTATCCAATTTAAGTATCTCATTTAAAAAAAAATTATAATTTAAGAAGTACAAAATGGTTTTGAAAAATATACTAAGAATTGATGGATGGCTACTTCATTGGTTGCAAATTGTCTTTGGAAGAAACTTGTTTGGAACCTGTTTGAGCCCCTTTTTTCTTTTTATAAGAATGCATTTTGGAATGGTAAATTGATAAAGATTGCGTGATTAAAAAATAAAGAAAAGTTTTGGATTTACGTATAATATTATTTTATTAACGAATGTATAGTTAAAAAGAAAAGAGAGAAAAATATATTTTAAAAAAATAGGGATCAAACCAGGGGTTTAATAGCAAAGGGCCCCGCGTTTGGATTTCAAGAATCGATTTTTCTCCATATAAATTGTTACAAGACATAAGCATGCTAGTTTGTCTTCTAGAGAGTCGAATGTTTTAACTTTTGGGAAATCCTTCTTCTAGAAAATAAGGTAAAATGCAATATTATAAAATTCACTCAAGTATATTTATAGGAAAAGATAAATGACGAGAGTAAATATCGAATTAGAGTAAATCAGTAATAAAATATATATAAATAGTTTTTACTACATTATTTAATCGATTTCGATTATTCTAATTGAACAAGTCGATGTAATTTGATTTAATAACGTTAATAAAGGAACAAATGCATTACAATGGGGACTCAAACAGCAAATGACGTAAAAACGATAAATCATTACGATAGAAATTAAGATTTCCAATAAATGATGGATTTTCTAGTCTTCCACTTCTAGTAGTTGGAAATTTTTTTCTTTCTTGACTTGCTGCAAATATACTTTGGATAAAAAAAAATCGATTATAGGAAAAATAGATATATATTTCGTCCTCAATGCACTAACTTTTTTATCAACGCAATATTTTAAAATGGTGGAATTGATTAGTTGCTAATGAGAAAGGTTCGAATAAAAGTTTCGAATCGACTAGACGTGAAAGTTATAATATTAGGGTAATAGAGTTGAATTACTCCTCCAACGTATCAACCATTTCTGGTATACAAAATGTTAGGGTAATAGAGTTGCACCCTACATTAACTATTTGGATGAACAAAATGAATTTTTGAACTTATGTGCAAAATCCAAGTGAAGGTAATGTGGTTGACGCTCAAAGCACTTGCGTTCACATTAGATGGTGGTCCCTAATACTTTTAAAAAAAAAAAAAATACACTTTGACATACTCTAATACATTAAAAGAGTCTGACTCAGAGCCGGACCTGAGCATAGATTCAACAGGCCGCTACCTAAGGCCCAGCTCTTCAAGGGGGCCCAATAAAAAAATTTTCCTTTTTTTTTTTTGGGTAAAACCCACTAATTAACGTAAAAGAATCCTCCCATAATTGAGATGTTTTGTAAATGTCTTTTACATTAAATTTTAAGTTAGTAATTAATTGTATAGTACATCGTTGAATTTTGATTTACATTGATTTTGGGGGCCCAATTCATGGAGTTCGCCTCAGGCCCCCAAGATCACAGGACCGGCCCTGGTCTGACTTTGACAGATCAAGTAATCGCTTCTTATTTAGAATAAAAAGATAAATTATCATTTCTAGACCAAAATGATGTGATAACATATTTAAAATGGGATTGATAAAAAAAAAAAAAAAAGTATAAACAAAAGGTTCCAAATTAGATAGATATGGGGAGTTTTGAGTTTACAAGGAACTTCGATTGTTCATCCTAA